TCACATGTTTTTTTCATATCCCATGACCAAGCAAAACCCTTCCCGCATGTTTTGCATTTGTGAGGTTTGTAACCTGTGTGAATGCTCATATGTTGAGTCAGATGAGATGACTGAGCAAAACCCTTCCCGCATATTTTGCATTTGAACGACTTCTTAGGTGTGTTAATCGTATGTTCGTCCAGCCTTGAGGTTTCCTTTTGAAGGGACAATGTCTTAGGTTCAATTCCTGTACTTGTTTTTTCCATACTCACTTCTTGAACTGGTAGGTTCAACGGTCTTGCGTCATTCTGATCAATTTCGCTGAGTTCTACTTGTCTCCCACTTCCCCTTGGCGCTGATAGATCTGTTGGTTCAATGCGTTTCTCAATCATTCTTGTCATTGACAAATTTAACGATTCTATTTGTGGCTCCTCAAATTTATGAATCCCCATATGTGTTCTTGGCATTGACAAATCCAACGGTTCTGTTTGCGGTGATAAATCTGATGGTCCAATCCGTCTTTCAATCATTCTTGTCATTGGCAAATCCATCGGTTCTGTTTGCGGCTCCTCAAATTTTATGAAGTCGTCAATTTCAAACTGCGCTGAAGGTTTGAAATCTTAGAAATATTGTAGTGCTATCTTATATTCTTTAACTTTAAATGAACTTACGATGGTTTGAGTGTAACTCAGTTGGATGAGGAAGAGAATGAAGCAGATGAAACGCATTTTGATGGGAATAATTTCTTGCCAATTCTGAAACAGTTGCGCAAAACTTTTTCAAGTGTATACTTTTCTAAATATATTAGCATTCAAAAGAGATCGGTACGCATTTATTGCGCGTATAATACGAACGTCTCCCACAAACAGAACAAATTATTTATGTTGGAGATTGATCTCAAACATTCCAAAGCAGATTCCTGCAAACTTGCACAATTACAAATTTGATAAAACGATAATTTTGTTTAATAAAGAAAGTGCTCATGTTGGACTCCTAAAATCGCATGACGCAGAACTTTAAAAAACAATTGCCATTCTCCGTCGAAATAAATGAAACAGAACTTGCTAAATGAAATTTCACGAAGACAGTTTGATAGATACCACCCAGCCGCTTCTGTATGCTATTGGCAGGGGATCGCGTATATAAATACTAATTTTGATGGGAGTGGCTAGCCACGTGTATCGATAACCTATAGTAATGTAATAATAACAATCACTTTTAATCCTTTATACTTTAACCCTTCATGAATAATTTCAATTCAGTTGCCATATTGCTTTGTGAGAAATAATTTATGCAAAGCCTTCACAATATTTTTTGCAGTTTCATTTCATTTCGCTTCGATTCTTTTTTCCGGAAATCATTTTTGGCAAAAATTTCCAGAAATTCCAAGTACATTTGATTTGACAAGAAAAATTTAAATTGAATTTGTAGATAGTATTATAAATTGCAAAATTTAAAGATTTTGCTCATTCTTTGACAAGAATTTATGAAAATTAAAGTATTACACGTTTTTGTCATAAAATACTTTAATCATTATAGAAACATATAATATTTCAATTATCGTAAACTAACATCGAGAAACGGAATCGAAATATTCCAACTGGTATCCAGTTGCTATGTGTGCATTTTACATTACAGATCATTCAGTAATAATAGAACTTGATAATATTACTCTACCATTTCTAAATTATTTTAGAGAAACCGATGAGTGTGATCATCCAGATAGTAAAGAAGATTGGATTCTTGGTGAAACCAATTGATATCATTTAATTAGTAACATATACATGTTTAATTTAGACATT